GGGGATTTTTTTTTTTTCAGTAACAAAGAAGTCTTTGTTCCTGCTCTATGCTTGGGCTGCGCCTTGGATATTAGTTGGAAACCCGATAGCCTGACATTGCTAGAAGTCTGCAAGTACAATGTGAGTCGTCTGCAACCAGGATTAAATCAGGCCTTTTGTACCAAGATGCTGAGGGGCCATGTGATCTGGGAGAAGCGATGGTTATGGATGGCAGGAGATTTTTAACCCTTTGTGCCTGTGTTTGCCGCTGCGAGTGTTTGCAGGGGAGGCGGCGGCCAGCGCTGCGCAGGGGTAGCCAGGGCTGCTGCGTGTACCAAGCGTTAGTGCACCTGAGTAATTTCTGTCAAAAAAGCAAATAATGCCTTACGTGGAGTGGATGAAATCCAGCCCCGTGTGAGGGCCCGGGTGGAGCTGGGATCCCTGGCCGGGGGTGCACAGGCACCTACCCGCAGCACCGGATCCCCTCTGCTCCGCTCCCAGCCCTGCGCAGCCTGCTGGGGCTGGCTGCCGGGGGGGTCAGCGCTGCCGCCCCAAGTGCACGCTGCCTTTGGGACGGCTCTTCACCAGTTCATGTGAGCAGAGGCACTTTTTTTTTAAACTGGACAAGTCGGGACTATGAGCCGAGGTTCGCCAATGGCTCAGAAACGTGAGTCATTCTGTAAAATCTTGTGGAGTAACATGATAAATAATAAATACAGGAGTATCTTTATTTGCCTGGTGGCTTTGAATTCTGGGCACCATGTTCTCAAGTGCTCCTTTCGCCCGCAGGACATGGAGCTTGCTTTTCAGCCGAGACCGGGAGGTTGGGACCCTTACGCGGGGAGCACCAGGAGCAAGAGTATTACCAAAGACCCGAGGGTCAGTGGTGGGAACATACTGGCAGTGTTCAGCGGGCATTAGATGACAGTGAAAACTGGGGGATGCTCAGGCGCGCGGCCCTGAGGAAGGTTGTCCGGGATAGGCCGATCTGGTCCACGCTGGGTGAGTTCCTATGAAACAGCGACATCTAAAACCGCATCCAGCAGCCCCCACTGCTCCCCCAGCGCAGTCCGATTCTGCCTGGGCAGAAAGACGCTGTCTTGCAAGTGACGGAAGGGAAGGGCTTGCAAACGCAGCGTGTAAAATGTCACGGGATTTCAGGATGTAAAAAGGAAGCACTAAGGTGAACACTCTCGTGAAGCTACCGCTTAGGGAAAATTAAGTCATCAGGACTTTACAAAATAGCCTCTGGCTCTCTCCTTTCACAATAGTTCAATTTACAAGATGATGAAAAATGAATTAACTTTAGTGGTTTCCTGGCATCACCCACAGTGAGCTAGACTTTCCAGATGCTCAAAGATCATTCCTGCTCCACCAAGCTTACATAAATTCCCACCTGGTTCAAGTTTAAGAAAACAACAGAACAAAGTCAATCATACAAACTCCATCATAAAATACCGCGGAGAGTTAAATACCGATTATCTGTATAGAGAGGTACCATTTTTTATTTATGTTTCACTGAGTTATTTTAGGAAATATAAAACTTTTACTGTTCCTGCAGCCAAGCTAATTCTTTTTTGCTGTATATATGATCTAATTTCTTTTTTCTCCCCCTCCCCCCCCCAAATGTGTAACCCTACAGTGTGTGTTTTAGAGATGGGGAATTTGAAGGGGGGGAAAAAAAAAGCCCAAGAGGTATACTTTAGTACAATTATCATAGACGGGAAAATTTGCTTTAGCATTTCCTAGCATTTTTTACTAACCGTATCATCTCAATCTTGTATTATTTTAGCACTATTCTGTTTTTTAGTGATCTAAATTAGAATAATTTAAATGTGTTCAACATGTACACCTAAGTGCCCCATATGCTGTAAAGGTTTTCACCTAACTGACATAAATGGGACTCAATATACTTAACGGATGCAAAAAAGCTGTTTGCAGCAATGGAAAAACCTACCGATATTATGAAAATATCATGATCCATACTGAGGTACCTGAAAAACCAAACAGGAAAAATATACAGCTTAAGGTTGCAGAGATGTAAAGAAACTAAACCAGCCGACCAACTTTGCAGAAGAAACAGAGGAACATCCTTGTAAAGGGCTGAGTTCTGAAATCGCTGCTGATCTCTGCGAGGAAACAACTGGAACAGTTTTTGTCCCTTAACTCTTATTATTCAGTTATGCATTTTTTAAAATGGGAAGCAGTCAAGCGTCTGAAGGAATTTGGTTCAAACTTTCCAGAAAACAACATTGCTGGCAAAACTAAGCATGAAATATTTACATCGGTAAGGTGAACTTTTCAGAAACTGAATGCAAATCAGGTTTTACAGATGAAATTTTCTTTAATCTCAATTACAAAATAGTCACCTCCAGACATTCAAGTAGGGAAGGACGAGAAGCGACAGAGGAGGTCAGATCCCCGGACATCTTTACATGCCGCCTTTCGATGCAATCCCCAGTGCCGTCTGGCTCGAGAGGTCAGCGGTGTGATTGTCCCCGGAGCAAACCCCGCGGGAGCCTGCTAGACCCCTGTGTGACACAGCCCTTCGCCCGCACCTGGTCGGGCCGCTGTGGGCACAGCCCGTGCCACGTGGGGCCCAGGGATCTGCACCCTTGCCAGAAAAGAGTATTTCCGTACCCAAAACTCCATACCGTTCTCGGGAACTAAAGCAGGTGCGCACAAATAAACATCATCTCTGGAGGAACACCTTCCCTCGTGATCCTGCTCTGCATTCGCTGCGCTGTCAAGCTCATCTAATGATTTTAAATATTTGCCTTTTGAGTTGGTCCAGTCACTGTGTTCGCTATAATTTTGAGAGGGAGGAGATGCAATAGTTTCCCTAACTGTTCCAGGCAGAGATGTTGAAAACCTTCTCAATAATGTCAGCCACCAGCCTTAGAGACCTGCCCTTCAAAATATTCAAATTCCTTTCATTGACTATCCCGGCTAGGGTAAGGAATCACTGCCAAGAAAAACCTATCAGCTTTTTTGCAAAGTAACTGTTGGGAGCCCATGCTCTAAAGACAGGACTCATCACTTTGGCTGGTACGCAACGTGTAGCGGCAACCAAATGCTTTTTTGTGTTGTTCCAGATGGCTGCACTACAAACACTGTAGAGGTTATTTAGTAGCTAAAATTTATATACCTGAAGCCTGACATATTAATGAAATGGCATCTTTATAGAGCTGGGGGTATAAACACCCCAGAGAAGTAAGATGTGGGTTTGCTGGATGGAAGGGTTTAAAAGGCTTCTTGCTAATGGCTAGCTGGGCTAAAGTTTTTCTAGCATATGGGCTTGTTTTGTACAGTTTATGTGGTGGTTTCTTCATTAGATTCTCAGTGGTAATAAGCCCACACAGTTGATTGCTGCAGGGAGAAAAAAAAACCATTTTGAATAGGTTTGCTGAATAATTATGAACTGAGCTGAACTCTTACATTTGTTTACTAATTGTATGGTTCGTGATGTTTTATGTATGATGCATTCATTTTGTTAAAAAGGAATTTTTTTTTTTTGCTGAGCAGCAACTTTTCTCAGTGCAAGTTAAACTGGCACGGTGGAAAGAGCTGAATTCAAGTCTGATGAATTGATGTTGTTTGAAATTTTTTTTTTTTTTTTAAAACATCAGCCCCACCATTTGGTTTTCAGCGCTTGCAATATGAAACCCAAAATTGTGCTATTGTCTTGAGAGTTGAAATAAATGAATCCCCTCAACTTTGGATTTGGCAGGAGCAATTACTATTGTTAATTTAGAAAATAATCCCCTGCAGCTACAACTATTTAAATAATGCCTTTCCCTGCTTCCCCCAAGATGACCAAAACCCAAAGACTGAAAGTAAAAATATGTTTTGTAAAATATACTTTTCACTACTTGGTACAATTTGAGCGAGGCTTCCTTCTACTTGGCAGGGCGACTGGGACCCTTCGCGACCGAAGTGCTCCCGACTGTGCTGCTCACAGTCCGGCACCCTCCCGCTAGCGCACCCCAGCACCACACCGGAAAGCCGGGAGGTGCACGGCAGGTTGGCAGCCCCGGGGCGTGTTTAGCCCAGAACATGTTCCAAGTTAGAAACCAGGGTTGAGCTGCCTTCCGACGTTTAACAAATAGTGAATGTGTATATACCGTGAGCCTGTAGAACACTGCAGCCAGTATAGGACCGTACCATTTCAATCAACTCACTGTTTTTACTGTCAAAATATTTAGGCTGATATTATTTCCATATTTGCCATCGGCCAGTTATATACTACTCCTGAGCTGCAGCTGGATCCGTGCGGCGCTGCTGGTGAGTTACCGCGCTGAAACTTTCAGTCTTAAAATTTGGTCCTGGAAGATAGTGATGCCGAGGCCAGCAGCGGAGGAGCAGAAAAGCCTTTTGGTGAAGCAGTCCAGGGAAGGAGCGAGCGGTTAGCCACCGCTTGCAGAATACAGCGGCAAGCCTCGCCGCTGGCCCTGGCACGGACACCTGGGGCTCCTGCTGGTGGGCACAGACCAGAAAGGAGGAGAGAGGAGAATTAACGCTTGCCCAGAAGCATTTGAGACGGTCAGCCCACGGACCAAGGAAGTCTCCATCCCTCTAATTGTATTCTCCCTCACAGCATCATTCTGCTCTTCCAGAGACAGTGCTTGCTCCGCTTGAGGAACAAACAGATTCTGAATCTCCCAGGAAATGCAAGGTGAATCTTCTAAATCAGTAAAAATCTGTCTTTTCTGAAGCATTTGGTCTCTTCCCTGGAAGCCAACGTTACAGGAGGTATCTGTGAAAGGCACCACTCCCTGCTTTAGGAAAGAACTGCGATTTCAGAGAGGCCTTAGGTCCTTTCACGTCAGCAAAAGTAATTCTTCACAGCAGAAATCCAGCCGCCTTACAGGAGCAAGTAACTTTCTTCCACGCCACTTTTGATACAACTTTCATCATATCTGCGGTGCAGAGAGAACAGACCATTTCCCCAGAGAAGTACCTGTATATAAACACAACGATAAAGCCGTGATAAAAAGGATCAACTACAAATGAAACCCACCATGATTACAACGGTAAGTAATTATCTCCAATAATACTCCCGGCAGATATATTGTCCAACTGGCATGTGGTATCTTACATGGAAAGTATCTTTTTATGCCACCCTAGAGTGGACGCACTGACAGAAAATGGATTCTGGCTGAGATGAAAGCAGTGTTACTTCTCCGAGGTGGATGCTTCACTCCCTGATCTGTCCCAGCGAGGCTGATCACGTTCCTTGCCCACGTTAAAGACTTACCAGCCAGAGAGCCTCAGCCCTATTGTGCGATTCTGTACTGGTAGGACTGGCATTAAAATGCCGATATTGTTTTGGTTTACAATGCTCTTACTTGTTCTGCTGCGCTTGCTGTTTTGATTGGCACTCTTAAAATTAATCCAGCTTTTTTCCTTTGCTTTTTTTTAAATAATCCAGTTTTAAAATTGGATGCTATTTTGGCCAGAAAAATACTGGGTAATAAATGAATGCTAGTTTACACAACAAATCATTACCATTTCAAGACAATAACAAGTTAAAGGGAAGAGCCGAGTGCATGCCACATGTGTACACAGGGACCAGCTGGGGTACCACCTCTCTGTGCAGCACCTTCATGCCCCTGCAGGCTTGCCCTTGGCAGCCACAACCCGGCACTCGCCAGACCTAGTGCTCTTACTGTTTGGAAAACATCTCCTTGGGAGCAAAAGCCCAAGCATGTTAATGCCGCTCTTATGAGGTATAAAATTCAAAAAATTCCACTGTGTGACAGAGAAATCACTCCCATACTAAGAGATGAGTCTCCTCAACGAAAGCGTCCTCCTCTTCCTGCGTTCAGAAAACGGTGTTACATCTGCCATGAGCTTTGTGCCCAGCGCGTGCCCGCCTTCCTGCCCGCGGAGCCCGCACACCGAGGCCGGCACGGGGTGCGGATACGCCACGCTTTCTTCGCTGCAAGCAGCCCCTCGCCCGACCCCAGCTTGAACAGAGGGAGTCAGGAGGCACTGCGGGTACACACCGGGCGCGTTTCCCAGAGCATAGTGCAGCAAGGGGGCTCGTGTGCTTCAGGAACCGGTTTCTCTGCTGGGACACAGCCTGACTCCCGTGAAAGCCAACAGAAGTTGAGTGTCTAAAGAGCGGTTCTGGGGGAGCTGGGACAGGCCGTGGGCAGGCGAACCATCAAGATTTCCCTCTCCAGCGAGCCTGCGGTGGCTCTGGGGTGAGCGGGGCCGAGCCCTGACACCAAAGCAGGGACCCCTCCAGCACCCAGCTTATGGGTGGCGTTAATCACGTTAATCACCGCCCTGCCCAGACGCGTGCAGCCCTGAGGGAAAGGCGCTTGCTCCTGGGCCTGGAGCCGTCCTGCACCGACTGAGGCAGCACAAGGAGCGGGAAGGGGGCGCTGAGGGGGCTCTCCCTAGGCCCGGCTAGGGGCGCTCCTGCCCGCCGGGCCCGGCTGCCTGGCGGCAAGGCGGGGCGGTTTGGCGCGGCAGGGCTGACCCGGCAGGCCGGGCTCCCCCAGAGCCGCCCCCGGCGAAGGGCGGGCCGGGCGGGGG